TTGCAAATCTTCGTCTCAAAATCGATCATGAAGTCAGTTTTTATAATAGTTTTAATCATCGTAATATATCGAATGAGTATCAGTTTACCTTGTAGGAGTTGTTAGAGTTGATACTTCAAATAGTTGATAACGTCTTCTTTCACTTTCCTGATGTTTTAGGACAACTGTCAGAAAATTATCAATAATGCGATTCCACGTGCTTCTTCTGGAGCAGTGATAATGCGACTGGCTCGGTAGTGAGCGTTATTTGTTTACTCGAAATTGTTGTGTTGTACTCGGCATTGTTGTGTTCCACAACAATGCCGAGTTTGTTTATAGTTGACATTGTTGATGACGTAATTTCTTGAAGACAACGACTAATCACAAATTTTTATAGTAAAAGATTGTAAGAGACCACGATGTCCACCAGCAATGACCAATTTAATCAAAATTAAAATGGAGAGAGTGGAGGGCAGTATTCCTAATATTTCTTATATAAGATAAGATAAGTGATATTCTAAAACGTTTTTAACAGCACAATATTATCTACTCTACGACGCGCTTGTTCTACAAGCGATTCACAACTCAGCTCTTTCCGCTATAACGAAAGCGGATTGTTGACGGCAGTAATGAAACACATCAATGACGAAGAAACAGATGACATAACAACTAGTTTCTAAGGTAAAAGAGTAAAGCGTTGTTATGCACGCAGGAGTTCATATAAGAGCTGACCATTGTCGGTCCATATTTACACATTGTTGATATGGATCTTACACATTTTCCTAATGCTGTTTTGCCGAATGACCCTTCCTTATTTACGTTAATAACTCATTTTATAATAAATATTACGGGAAACGTTATTTTGCAAAAAGCTTCATATTTCATCCAGTACTTTGCACCACACCATACACACTTTTCAAACACGATAAAATCTAGTGCATTCTGTTCTGCCTTGGTAGCACTTACTTCTGTATTCCCATGTCAGTCACACGGATATCTCTGATCATTAACTCTGTAATAGAGTAACGCTGTTTCTGTTACAAATTGCCAACTTGGGACAGCGATAAAGGGAGAAATAAAAGTCTCAATTACAAACTTGTTTTGTAATCAGAACAACAAACATTACAGCATGTTTTACCTGAGCATTTTCAAAAGTGAAATATGAGCGCAAGAATGTTACACACCCCAACTGACGGTGCTGCCACTAATAATATTGAATTTGTTCCCTTGAATTCCGCTAGATTACAGGAGAGTTCACTTCCGAGACAAACTGCATTCCTGTTTTCTAATCGATTATGACGAAATACAAAAATTCACATAGTTAATAAATTGTACGTGAGATGTGCTCACAGATGGTGCTGTGCTTCTTGAACACTGCTCATTTGCGACGTGTGATTTTCCGTTAAAATCTTAACTTTACGCGCAAAGAAAAGATTGTGGTAAATTCATCAGAACTGCTTGGATATGGTCTAGGATCATATTATGGAAACCAGGTTAGTAAACAGAGCATTAAGCCGTTTGTCAGACACTCTGAAAGGTATTTTAAAAATAATCAGACGAGGAACACGACAAGCAAAGGAAACAAATTGAAGATTTCCGTCTTCTGGGTTGTTGCGCCGTGTAGTATGGTCGATGTTAACCAACGTTTCAGAGGTCATACTGCCTCCGTCATCAGGGCGCTGTGAAAACCTCAAATCTTACAAGGAAACAAATTATTAAAAGCAAGAAACCTAACAAAGAAGAATATAAACAAACAGACTCTGTAAAAAATAAAACATTATATAAGATTAATTAACTAATGAACTATGCAACTAACTGCTTAACAGATTAACCGGCAAGTCAGAAATTAAGCGACTGAATAAGAAACAAGGAAATTTACTGATCTGAAACTAGCGCATAAAAGGCAGTTTTTTTGTGTCTGTGTCCATGAAAGTGGAAGGACAACTAAAAAATTCGAATTAAATTTTTCGGTAAAATTATGTAAATCACAAAAAATAACAATTTTAAACTAATGCTTAAATTACTTGTCTGATTAAATTGCTAGTCTACTTCCACACAAAATATCTGACAACAAATACTAACAGATCCATCTCTGTGTTTACTTTGCACACAACTATGCTAAGTATGGTTTTTATTTATTATTTTATTTAGTGTTCTGTCTGAGGACAGGTCCATATGAACAGGATCCTTCCATCCTTTTCTCGGACTGGGACCTGTTCATATACGTTCTTGGCAGATGATCTAGAAGTGGTTTGCCATTGCCTTCTTCTGTGTGTGAATGCAGTAATTGTTGGGATGCCACGGAGAAACCGGGGAAGCCCCCGGAGGAAAACTCCGTGTTGCCTAGACCACGGCCTTGCCCAACACAAGTTATAAATTCGGGCACCGTCGGTAAGCAACAGTATCTTTAGACAGACAAGAATACAATTAGAATCTTTTAGAGATGTGTATATAGCAGATCACGAAATTACTTATTTTATACGCCCTACTAATGTTCTTGTTACGGTTAGTTCGTGACTTCGGGAATAATATTCATGTCTGTTGCCACGTGTTCTAAGCAATTAACTAGTCCCAAGTTCGCTGTAAGCAAATGCAGAAGAATAAAAATTAAAGTGTATTGTAAGGCATTAATCAACAGCTGTATAATGTTCTACTTTAACGAAGCTTCACTACAAGAGAACTGCACTTAATAAATGTCTTTTGCAGTTGCGTGAATTAGGAGCTATAAAAGATATAATTATTCTGGTACTTAAACACGTTAGTGTTCAAGAAAACGTTGTAGGAGATGGGGAAGA